AAATATGCAATAATAGCATTTGAAAATTATTAATATGTAATGTAATTATTATATAAAAACATGAAAACTGATTCACAGATATGCACAGACAAGTACACTGCAGACGTATTGTCTAGACGCAGTGTCTGGTTCGCTTGATACAATGTATACACATCACATTTATGATCAAATCGCGCGCACTCCTCTACTTGCACTCGCTCAGATGCGCTGCCGTATAAAGTTGATAACTCAACCACTATCCCGATTTTTACGATTTTTTTTTACTATCCCGGCGGGATACCAATCATTGAAATCTGGTATCCAACACAAGAATCTACTATCCCGCTAATTTCGACCCCTGTATACCTACAAATTTCTATAATCACGCATTGACATTTGTCATAAAACAACAGTGAGTTTCGAAATCTCTATTGTTGCCCACTGACACACATGCACGCACGCACGCACACACAGTGCAAGCACTCACACTTGTAGATTAAACGCCACGTTCAGTATGTCGAATCTTTCAACTTCAAAGTCGACGCCTATAGTGGCTTTGTAGTCTCTGTCAAAGAGGTTGTGGCAAAACCTACATAGTAACACGCAAAAACAAACTTAACCTTCATCACATCTACAACACGACATGAGCTGTGAGCTGCATTATATACAAACCACGTTATTGACCTTTTACTTCTAGTAACAACAAGACTCAAACACTGCAATATTTTGCTATTAATGCAAATTACAATTTTTTCACACATTTTTGCTCACAGATGGAGCCGCAATACAGGAAAACGTTAAAAACGTGCTATGCCTCTAGTTTAATGACTTGGCACATTTTTTTTATTCACTCGACGCATTTTTCACGTTAACACCTTGCATATTGTGATAAATGTACGACTTACCTATTGACTAGACATGTCTTTCCTACAGCAACATCACCCACAACTACTGCTTTACATATCTTTAACCTGAAATAAATATGGAGGGAAGTTTTACACTAAGAAACATGTTTTCCACAACAGAAACTGAAACGTTCTAATGAAAGATATCATTACAGGTCTTTTGAAAAGTAAAACACAAATATGCGGTTTATATTTGAAGCCATTTAGTATAGTGACTTTCATACTTTAATGATGATGACGATGATGATGATGATGTTGTTGATGATGATGATGATGACGACGACGACGACGATGATGATGACATGACATGACGATGACAAGTAATACTCTGTTGACGATGGTTATGATAACTTCAATTTTAAAATACATTGAGCTATACATTTCATCGTATGCAGATCCCATTATACTTGTATATATATAGCGTAAGATGTTACTACGCGCATCGTACGGTACCTGTCAGATTTACTTGAGGAACAACAACTCCTGACTTGTGGGTCAAAGTTGGTCTTTGTAGCGTAAGGTGTCGCCCCAGGGTGGAATGCCTCAAAAAGAATAACAACATTCCCTATCAAACTGTATTCTGTTATCACTGTTATTAAATATTTATTGCAAATATGAGGACGTGTACAGAAAACCGTACGTTTTCATCGAGAAAAAAATCATGTTTCTAATGAGGTCACAAAATGAATGTTCAGACTATAAGCTGCGTTCACATGAGGATTTCAGTTTCGTACTGAGTGTTCACACGCTAAAAATATTCAAGACTTATACGCGGCTTATTCAGTACCGTACTGAAATACGCGGCTTATTCGGCGCGGAATCACATTCCGCGCTGAAACATTCGGCACCACGCTGGCCGCGTATTGTCTGTTGTGTGAACGCAATTCGAGGCCTATTACTGTAGTGCGCTCATTAGACTGGTATCCGTTCACTACACGACGTTAGTGTAGCGTGTGGAACTGTCGACAGGGTACCAGTCTATATTATACCCAGCCAGCTAAGCCTCGATTCTCGTGTGAACGCTCCGGGTTATGTTAGCACGGTATTTCAGCCGAATTCAGCACCAGATAAGTACAGAACCAGCAAGGCCGTGAATCTCGTGTGAACGCAGCTATAGACTGTGTATTTCCATCCCTAACATATACATAGTCACTAATCCCAATCTCCATGGTCTACAACTGTAACAATGTATAATATATAGCCGAGTTTCTATTCCACTATATACAATGGAATAATATAAAATGATGTTATAATTACATAATATGCTCACCTGTGGAAACTTTTGTATAACTCTGTCTCTCTCTGCCTCGGATTTCAACATTTTCATGCATGGGGTCTCTCTCCTTCCGGTTCTGCTCACCATGCCAAGTTACATGCACCGCCCTCGCAGCCAACGGCGCTACAATGCAAACTATTACAAGTGATGGGACGAACAACATAGAAAACAATGGCTGTTGCCATTGTCCCGGTGTCACGGTCTGAGATTGCACCGGTCTGAAATTACCCCCAGCACGTCGTGCACATGCGTGACGCATGCGCAGTAGCGCTGGATAAATGAGACTGTCACAGTCTGAGATTAGAGTCTGGCAAAATGAGGGTGAATTCAGACTGGGGTAATCTCAGACCGGGCTGGAATTGTTCCCGCAAATTATATCTTAACCTGCATGGGTGCCCATAGGAAGGTAAATTTGCTATCGTTGGACGTTGCCAAAAATAAAACGCCATCGTCTGTGACAAATTAAAATTGTGTGCCACCTAGACAAGAATGGGGTTACCAACCGGTCGTATTGTGTGACGACTGCCTAAAAACTACAGTCAAGGACAAGGACCAAGTAATACTAATACTACTACTACTACTAGTAATAGACTAAAGACACTAACCATGGCAATAGATAACACTCAACGTAAACACAGTCAGTAGGCCTAGAGGCTAGAGGTAGTGCTAAGTCTAGAAGCTAGGGTAACGCTAGACCAAATAATTCTGTCCCAGATAACGTTTTATATTTTGGATGCGGTATACTGGGGTATAAATAATGCTCAGAGTAGCCTAATAGTAATAGTATTAGTAATACTAATAGTAACAAGTGCCGCAGAGCGACAGCGCTCAACTGACGTGTACTGTAGCCGGCTATTCTTCTGATAAACTCACTGGCAACCGAATCAAGTGCGCCCTCCCGCCACCGCGTTGATAGGCTTTGCTATACCGGTAGTACAGTAATAAAGATATAGCTGTGTAACTTTAATGACTTCCTTATATTAACGTTATCATGGATATGCGTCGAGCGCGAGCGTAGTGGTGGTGGTTAGGTGATCGGGCCTCCAAATCATTGGGCAGCGGGCCGCGGGCGCGGTTAGAGGTGGAGGGTGGGGGAGGGTGGGGCGGAGGGGGTGAAGGGGGCTTCGTAATAGCAAAAGCACGTTCGAAGTCCTTTTTTGTTAACACGTCAAACAAACCATGTTTAAACCCTCCTCTTGAGAGCGTCAAAAGGCTTTATCAGACACTTCACTCTTCGCACGGCTGTCAGTGCGAAAGCACCATTTCATGGTCCTATGCTCGACATTAAAGCCATAAAAATGAGGTAGGTCACGCCTTGAAAAAGAAAAGTTTTTCATCGCTCCGTTCAGACCATGTCCTCAGACAGTGCTCTAAAATTGCCCTGTGCCCCATTTGACCTGTTTGACCTGTGACCTCCAATTTCGGACAGCAGTGCATGGCTTTTCTACCATGATGCTATACAGCCGACTATCACGCGCCTAGGTCGACGCCATTTATATTTCTGTGCCGCATTCTGCCGATTTGCTCCCTTATACCCTACATCTTAAGTTAAGGAAGGGAATGTTCCCCTTTCTTTTATACATCCTCTTGACCTTTGACCCCCAGCTTCGAACATCCAACTCCGCTTTGTCGGAATTACCCCCCCCCCCCCACGTCCTCGAATATTGGTGACCATATGTCAAGCGGTAAGATTTGTGCCAACTGTTGACACACGGAAGACTGACACCCGGGGACGGTACGCACGCCTCATGCGATTCTTACGGTCAGCGATTAATGGACGATGCGGTACTACTGTCAGATTGACGCCCTAATCATTGTCAGTTAACAATACTGCCAATACGCATGCCCATTACTGCCAATAGATACCAATAAATGGTAACCCAAATCCCAAGAGGATAGGGTTACAAGTTCCCTATCCATTGTTCTGCGGAGGAATGGCGCGAGTGGTATCACTCGGGCCGCACGTATTCGCTGAGTGCGAGTTCTTCAGATACTGAGAAACTTCCAAAAACTTGGGTTCTATTTATCTCAACACGGAACCTTCTCCGCTGATTCGTGCGGACTTACTATGAGTATCTGCAGTAGTACCTCTCGTATTCTAAACTAGTATAACCATGTGTGTACAAATAATTCGAAAGTGGTGCGACGAGCGCGCGAATATATAATCTGAGCCATTCTGTTTGACCTGCTGGATCGTACTTCCGGTTTGTAAGAGCGGAGCGTTCACGACCAATCGCGAGGTGCGCTGAGGTTTGCGATCGCTATGCCGCATTGGAAATGCGTTTACGTCCACAGCGTCAAACAGAACATGAGGCGCTCAGATATCATTGCCGCTCAGTCACTTCGAATTTTTGTCAACAGGTTACTATTGTCTTAATACAGAGTATTGCCAATACATGTAACTTGTAAGTGTCCCGAATAGCGCGAGAAGGTGTCGTGTTGGAATAACCCAGTTTGGAAGTTTCTAGTATCTGAAACGCACCGCAAGCCGGCCTCGCCGAGTGTATTCACCGGGCTTCCTCCGCCAGAAATGGGACTAGGGAGACTTCTGTAACCCTTATCCTTCTGGGTATTGGGTCTACATCCTAACCCTAGCGATACCGTTTCTTGGAGCTAGCAATAGGCTAGCAATAGCAATAACCCTCACCAAAAGCGGCAAAATATAAAAAAAGGTTATCTGGGACAGAATTATTCGGTAACCCTAGATACAATAATGTAACCCAACAAGAGTAGTCCAATCCTTACCAGCAGGAAGTTTAGCAGAGAATATAACAACTTCAAAAACTTCAATAATACAGTATACTTCAAACACCTGTGCTTTGCTGTAAGTTGTAACTTTCCTTGTTGCGTACGTAAACAATGTACCTGTGGGATGTAGCAATACAAAATGCTCACGAATGCCTTCGACAGATAGTTTAAAAACATAAATTCTTAACGACATCAATGTATTATTTAGAGCTCAGTAAAATATTATTTCTTTATTTGTGTAAATATTACGTCAAATTACTTTCAAACACACCAGATAAATAATCATAGTTAATTTATGATATTAGTTCATGAGGCATCATCTACTTCGTACGACACTCTCCCATGACGCATTGTAAAAATGGCAGCCCCCATCAATGTTACGATGCTTTTGAGAAGTATAGGAAACTTCGCATTTGGTAAAGGTATGCTTTTGTAAATAACATAAAGTTTAATGTCAATAGACTTATCGACGCGAAATGTGCACATACACCAGAAACACGATTTATATTGTCGAGTAACTTGTTCGTGAATTCTTATTATTTTGAAATCTGTGTTGTACTTCAACTCAAAAGCAGGTGTGAATTGACTCAAACTCAAAGGTGGTAAATTGTCGTTGCACTTGCAGTGCGCGGATGCAGCGTACTGACACTACGATTACGAGGTTGTATGTCGACGTCGTCGACGAGAAAAGATTCGAGCAACGAGGGAGTATCAAAACCCGTGAAGCGATCTGTTGGGAGAACAGCAGGTACGAAACAATCGGCTCTGGTGGAAATTACTCGATCGTTCCACCTCTGCCTCTGGTACCGGTATTCGCCGCATCATCCGGTTAGACGAAAGGCATCGTTTCACGATTAACGTGATCACTGAAAAATTAAATTAAATCACGTAAAAATCACACGATGTTCTTTTCGCTTCTTCGAGCAGATATATCACAGTCGTGTTTTTATCCTGTGATTCGATCTGCCGGTGTTGCACACATCAGTGCAGCTAAGCGACCTTAACACATCGACAGGGCATACGTGACCATAGTGACATAGAAGATGATCCTGTGCTAAGAACATAAATGCAACTAGAACAACTCCCTAAGTGACTCTAACACAATGAAACAGCACATGAAAATAGATGTTAAGATGACAGTGTGCTAAGAACATAAATGCAACTAGAACAACTCCCTAAGTGACTCTAACACAATGAAACAGCACATGAAAATAGATGTTAAGATGACAGTGTACTAAGAATTCAAGTGCATCTAGAACAACTCCCTAAGTGACTTTAACACAATGACACAGCACATGAAAATAGATGTTAAGATGACAGTGTGCTAAGAACATAAATGCAACTAGAACAACTCCCTAAGTGACTCTAACACAATGAAACAGCACATGAAAATAGATGTTAAGATGACAGTGTGCTAAGAAATAAAGTGCAACTAGAACAACTCCCTAAGTGACTTTAACACAATGACACAGCACATGAAAATAGGTGATAGTGTGCTAAGAATTAAAAGTGCTGCTAGAATTCCCCATTCCCCCCTCTAAGCGACCTAAGTAACCATGTAAAGTCCGGCCCACACGTGAGTAATTTTACTCAGTAAAATTATGCATGCGTCAAAATACTCATGTGTGCGCTGGATTTTACTTGGGTTTTCTGACGCATGCATCAAGAAACTCGATATCAAACATGTTTGATAATATTTGACTCGCGCGTCAAAATACTCAACGTGTGCGCGCTAGCTGCGTAAATTTACTCGACACTGGTAGGCGCATGCGTTTAAATCATTTTAAAGACGGCTGCGCCCAGTATTGGCTGCGCACAGTCACGTGATCTGCATTACCACTTATACCTTGAGTAATTTTACTCACGTGTGCGGGGGACGCTGACAATATTTCGCGTGAGTATTTTGACGCATGCATCATTTTACTTGAGTAAAATTACTTACGTGTGCGCCGAACCTAATGCTAGCCGCACACTATCAGACCCAAGCGCGGTCGGGAGGCTTACGTCTGGATCGGGAGGCTTAAGTTTGGCTCGGGAGGTCATTTTGGCCCGATTCGAATTTTGAATCTGGAGCATATAGTGTGCGAGGGCTTATGACGCGACTCAGATAGTGTGCGTGGCCATCTGACCCGCTCGGCGAGCGCTGAAGAAAATTGACCAATCACAGAGCAGCGCCATGGGAACCGCATTCGGTAAAAATGGCGGGAAAACACTCCCGACCCTTAGTACACGCTAAATCTGCTTGGAGGCACGAGAGTGCCATGGTTAGTTAGTGCCGTAGCGCGTTACGAGGATCGTGGACATTGTTGTCGTTGCAGATGAGCAGCTGGCTATGATGAGGCGGCAGCCGACGCAGCCGGACGACCCGCACATGCTCTCCGTCGCCATCATAGGCACGCCGAACACGGGAAAGTCGACCCTCACGAACAAACTCGTCGGATGGCGCGTAAGTTCCTCCGTTCCTTAACAAACTTGTCGGCTGGCGCATGAGTTCCTCCGTTCCCGCATGTTCTGCCGCGCGATCCGTTCCTCGGATGTGCGATCGGTGGTGTTCGTCATGCTCCGTTGTTCATCGATCCGTTGGAATTCCGGGGTTATCTCGGATTTTGTTTATCGTTGTGGCGACGACAGTTTTAGGAAGAATGACAACGACGGAGAAAACCGCAGAACAAATTGAGTTTAAAAGTTTTGGGCAGACGGATTAAAGCGTTTCTTTGTCGTGTAACGATCGTAATTTTCACGAGTCGGTGCATGGTGTATGTGTATGTGCGTGTATGCGTGTGTGTGCGTGCGTGCATGCGTGTGTGCATGCATGTGTGTGTGTGTGTGTGTGAGAGAGAGAGAGAGAGGGAGAGCGCATTTGAGTTGATTAATTTTTCCCTGATTCTGCAGATTTGCTCAGTCTCGAAGCGAGTTCACACGACAAGAAGAAAGACTCTAGCATTGATCGTTGAAGGAAATACACAGATAGTAAGATTACCGATATTATAATAATTTCAGTATTTTATTAGACTTTCTAATATTGTTTGTATTTTGCATTATTTTGATTTTTGCTTCACTTCACATTTTTATTTAATATGCATGTGAACCTGTGACAGTAATCATCAGTTGACTTTGGTTAAATAGTCTTTTTTCTCAATCATTATTTATTGTCTTCATAATTATTGCGTGTTTATTTCATGTCTTTATGTTTGTGCCATTTTTTCCAGAGAATATTGGACACACCTGGCTTAATCAGCAAACACCACGGCAAAAAGTAGGTCAATCATTCCCAGTATAGACACACAAAGACACCACACCAACATTAATGTAACAGCACAAGTTATTAATTATTTCTTCCAGTAGATGGCGCAACGAGGTTATTTTTGGCTGTGATTAGTGCTTCAATCCTGAAGCTTTTATATCTAGACAGATAACGTCACATGGATGTATATAATTATATAGTTGTATATTTAGCCTTCTATATTCCGAATACATTTTAACCTGTAACGAGGTCATATTATATAGATAGATAAAGTCACTTACATAGATATATCTACTAGGGCTGTAACGATACACAAGCCTCTCGATTCGATCCGATTCTCGATATTAACCTCTCGATTCGATTCCTTCGATTCGATTCCCAAAATATTGAAATGTTATCTTATTTTTTATATTTTCATTATTTTGCAATAATAAATTATTAGAAATTGCCAATGAATACTAAATGGTGAATAGACTAGAAAGTCTAGAGAGTATATATACACTGCACAGCTGCTGAGTAACATTGGTGAGTAACACTCCACAGTATATAGCTTAGTGCCGCCATCTATTGGAGGAAAAAAGTGGTATCGAAGTGGAATCGAAAATACGGGGAAAAATATCGAGGATCGGATCGAGGGAAGAGAATCGCGATCCGATTCGATTTCGGTGGATCGTTACAGCCCTAATATCTACATAGTTGTATATTAAAACGTCTGTCTTTTGTTCTCTACTTCAGACATCATTTGGAAACGTCACTGATTTTGGATCCAGAGAGATCTTTAGAAGAAGCTGACCAAAGTAAGAATATATGAGTCGGGGTTAGAACTGAACTTTTTTGGCCAAAGCAAATATTTTCAAAAAAAGGCAGGCAGCAAATTTACTCACCGGGGCAGAATCGTTGGCACTGCTACTATGGTTTATTAGGAGTTTCTCGGCAGCAAGTATTTGCTGTTGATGTTAAGAGCAGGCAGCAACCTGACCGTTGTATCCAGCAAAACTGCTGCTCGCTGCCTCTTAATTGCAAACCCCGTGAGCACGTATTTACTACAACAGCGAATAAATTCTCACGCGTAACAACTCTTCGTCAATCGCTTCCGTCGCCATGGCTACCGACTCCGTTCACTATCACCGGCGCCACCTATACATACAGCTGAGCATCACTGCAGCTTGCTGCCCTTTGTAATTTCGAACCGTGGCATGTTTGAATCGGTAGCCGAGGAAGGCACCACACAAGGAGCACGCTATCAATCAGAGCCAGCAATCAGAAGCGATACCTCAGAGATGCCAACCACTACGATTTATCCGTATTTTATACGAATTTCGATTCCTTTTGCACCACTACGACCAGTTTGTATCAAACTACGAATTTTACTGTGATCGAAAAAATATCTTTTTTTTGTCAATTTAATGTCATTTTTGATCCTCAGAATGCAGGAAATTGCATCTCAGAATCAAACAATTTTTCGGGGGGCATGCGTGACCCTCGAACTACTAATGGCCAGAAACTACAGATTGCTTCAAATATGTGTTGGCATCTCTGGATACCTCCATCACAAGAAGAATTTCGCCGCGAATCACCATTGTAACGCTAAAATTGTCATCGTTGCTGCGTTAGTGGGTGCAAATCATTGATCACTGCTGCGTTAGTGAAAAGGTTTAGTGAAAATAAGGTGGAAATAATTGATTTTATGTGTTTTTCGCGGATAGTTGCGGTGATGGTGGACGTGACGAACAGTCTCTCGCGCTGTGCACTCGACTTCCGCGTTCTCAGACTCCTGCATCTCCACCCGCACAAGAAATCCATCCTGATTCTGAACAAGGTACTTGCTGTTGACAGTCGTAAACCGTGATCGCACGATGACGCGCTATCCTAATGATGTCATTCGACCATAATGATGCGATGTAACCCTAATGATGTCACATGACCATAACAATGTCACCTAACCTTAATGACGTCACTCGACGCTAGTAATATTACACGAAGACGAATGTCATGTTACCCTTCCTGATCTAACTCTAATGACCTTAAACGACCCCAACGACTTCACGCGACCACACGCGACCTCACGCGACCCTTGTGTTTACAGATAGACCTGCGTTCGTGTTTCGACCTGCTCACGATCACGCGCACGCTCAGCCGCGGCACTGTCGGCTCTCACGCGACCTCTCATGACCTTACGTGACCTCACTCGACCTCACGCGACCTCACGCGACCCTTGTGTTTACAGATAGACCTGCTCACGATCACGCGCACGCTCACCCGTGGCACCGTCGGCTCTCACACGACCTCTCATGACCTTACGTGACCTCACGCGACCTCTCATGACCTCACGTGACCTCACGCGACCCTCGTGTTTACAGATAGACCTGCTGCGTTCACGTCTCGACCTTCTCACGATCACGCGCACGCTCACCCGCGGCACTGTCGGCTCTCACGCGACCTCTCATGACCTTACGTGACCTCACGCGACCTCTCATGACCTCACACGACCTCACGCGACCCTTGTGTTTACAGATAGACCTGCTGCGTTCGCGTTTCGACCTTCTCACGATCACGCGTACGCTCACCCGCGGCACTGTCGGCTCTCACGCGACCTCTCATGACCTCACGTGACCTCACTTGACCTCGCGTGACCCTCGTGTTTACAGATAGACCTGCTGCGTTCACGTCTCGACCTTCTCACGATCACGCGCACGCTCACCCATGGCACCGTCGGCTCTCACGCGACCTCTCATGACCTCACGCGACCTCACATGACCTCACGTGACCCTTGTGTTTACAGATAGACCTGCTGCGTTCACGTCTCGACCTTCTCACGATCACGCGCACGCTCACCTGCGGCACCGTCGGCTCTCACGCGACCTCTCATGACCTCACACGACCTCACGCGACCCTTGTGTTTACAGATAGACCTGCTGCGTTCACGTCTCGACCTTCTCACGATCACGCGCACGCTCACCTGCGGCACCGTCGGCTCTCACGCGACCTCTCATGACCTCACGCGACCTCTCATGACCTTACGTGACCTCT